CCCCCTGCAGATGATATGGATTCCGTAACTTACGTGTGCAATCTGTATTGCCGTTCATAGTGTCGCTAACCTGTACACGATTTCCAAGACATCGCTGATCACGAGAAACTGAGAGGCAGTTATAAAAAACAAACAAGCTGTCATCATTGGTATTATTTACATGTATATACCAACCTGACAGGCTGCAGTCTCTACATGTCGTACAAAGGCCACAATGTTTTATTTCCTGTTTGGTGACATGCGATACACCTATATCATATTGACTGATGTGTGTTTCTATAGGTGAAACAATTCATTTCAAACAATTCATTGAAGATGGCGTTATTGAACAGGGTCGGATTTACATTTAATTTCGAGCAAAATATATTCTGTGGCATATATTGGCAGTCAAGTTTAAATTGTTCTGATACATAAAAAAATTATAGGTAATACATACATACATACATACATACATACATACATACATACATACATACATACATACATACATACATACATACATACATACATACATACACACATACACACATACACACACACACACATATATATATATAACTTTAGCGAAAATGAATGAATGATGATTTATGAATCAAATGATCACGGTTTTAATCTGATTGTATAGCTTATTGTTTTAATGATAACTTTGCCGTTATGTGTCGCCTATGACGACACTCAGCTTTCATTGTACACTTGAAGAGCCGTTGAACGGCGAAAGATCTTGTGCAGATAAAAAGGAGACTTGGCAAGAAGAAATACACACACACACACGTGCGTCTGTATGTATATATGCCTAAATTTAAGATCCATTAGCCACCTTCAAACCATTAGAATATACACTGGCCTACCTTTAGAATACAGAACCACAAACTTTACACTTTACATCACAACACCTCTTACCAACGCCTATAGATATAATGTACTTATTCCTTCCAAGCGTTTGTGATGTAAGGGAGGTAACTCTAATTTATCTACTACGTCCCTGCAATATGACGGGACGGACGCTTCATAAACTGTGAGTTTTTTTTATCTTTCCACTAACACGTAATCAGATGTTGTGACAGTTGCATTTGGTATCTGTATTCTAGTGTAACTGATTTATCCAAATGTAGAATGCAATTGTTGTTTATTTTGTTGGTGGGATACAGACGTTTTATCGATAAATTTAGCAGACGAGCTTTGGCAGATCAAGACTCATTGAAACTCATCTAGGACCGTTTACACCCATTAATGTTCTTGGTTGAAACTGTTCGAACAGTAACAATATTCAAATATGGTTCATTTGTGACAAAATAACGTATATATTTAGAGTTGGTATTGGAATAATGAGAGACTGTCAGAAAATGACGTGTGATAATAAATGTTTTATGTGAAAGTAATCAATCAGCAGACGTCAACACATATCAGAGTACTGTGGCACTGACATTTTGATGGCTGTTCATTTCTCAAAAATAGCTTCACTTCAGAACACATACACTGATGTGAACGTGGGGCTGGTCACTTTTGTTTCGTTTTTTAAATATTTTCTCTAAATGTAATTGACATCTCAAGGTACTAAAAGTTCAAGATGTCAGACTTCCATACATTCTTCGCAAATTGTTCAAATTAAGATAGGAAATATGATATGAAAATTAAGGTGTACCTAATTATACAGAACCGTAACCTAAATTCGTGGATAACCTTGATTTGTGGATCGCGGAAATTATCATGCTGGCTCGTAAATTAAGTTTCGACTGACCTCACGAAGTGGTACTTTTGATGTACATACAATGCCACGCCTCGCTGACAAAAAAGTTCCGAATCTCTGCATTACACGCAAGTACTCTAAATATAATTGTCCAGCACTGAGATAAATAGCCCCAGATCACTAATACTACCATTACCAAATTTTATTTTTACAAAATGTCAAGTAAAAAAGATACCGTTAGCTCCAACCTTCTCACTTCTCGTTGTCTGCTTTCCTTGGTGTCAATACTTACTGCAGTGGGTGTCGTACATAGTGGTATAAAGTAACCGAATATGTAATCCACGAAACAAGGTGACGTCACATTTTATGGGTACACGAATGGGTAATGATTGTAAATGGCTTCCGTAAACAAACGTTTCATTCACGAGTGGAATATTAGGCATTTTCAATTTGCTGAATCAATGAGTAAAATAATCAGTGCATATACAAAATGAAATCATGCATTTAAAATATGAATTTCGCCGCACTTCCCTTATATCCACGAATCAAGGTTACGCGAGTGTAATAAAAGTCTGAATTTCTTTTTAAAAAACCCCATTAAAACACAACACTGTAATCGCACCTGCAAACTCTCATGCCTTTGGCTTGAGACATTCTTTCACTTTCCATGTAATACTCTCACAACAACACGGTTAAATCTCACGGCAAACTGGGGTCATATGTAACATACAACTTTATGGATGACAACTTCTTATTTATTGCATAGAGCGATGTTTCGATGTAGATTGTTACATCGTTATCAAGCTAAAAGTGATAACGATGTAACAATCTACATCGAAACATCGCTCTATGCAATAAATAAGAAGTTGTCATCCATAAAGTTGTATGTTTCATTTTTGAGTCACCAACTTCTAGAATGCCCATCAAACAATGGGTTCATATGAAAAACTGTGACAACATAAAATCACAGAAATAGGTCTGAATACATCATTTTCAGTGAATTTTCTGTGAAAGGAATTTGTGATACCTTGGACCTCAGCATCTCAAGCTTTTTTCTCTCTTGGGGTTGGAAGTTGTGTATTGTAGGACACAAACATGATTCTTTCTATTAATCAAAATAATGAACTCAGACTGTGAAAACGTTTCAGAGGTTGACAAGTGTAGAGTGACTGAGTGTCACACAAATGCAATATTTCCTTGAATTATGATACATTTTACTGTATTTAAGAGTAAACGTATTTGCATTATGCGGACATTTTCCTATCACAGAAGTCCTCATGTACCTTCTGTCTTCCTCGAACAAACCTCGGGTAAACACAGGTCTCAAGGACTGTCACAAAGTCCAGCAAGATCAGTAGTCTGAAAGTCATAATTGTTACACTAAGAAAAACAAAAAATTACTTTATTTGTGTCCTGCTACTGGAGGAAGGGAAGCCACTACTTGAATCCTGGATGGGTGAGGTGAAATTGGGTTTAACTTCGTGCTTGAGAATATTTCGCTGATATGACGACGTGCATGCGTGTGTATGTGTATGTGCAACTGCTTGTACTAGTCCAGACTTAAGCTGGTTTTATAGTGCTAGCCCACTGAGATACCATGCCGCAGTGAAGCATGAATACCCAACTCAGACACATTATACTGACTCCGAGCCAACCAGTCCTTGTTGTACCCATTAATGCCGAGCACCAGGCAGGGACTAACAAGTACCATATTTTAACGTCATTTGGTAAGACGCGGCCGGGGATCGAACCAGCAACCTTCCGCTCTCCGGGCGGACGCTCTAACCACTACACCACGGAGGCGGTCTCCTGGATGGGACTCAACCTAACAAAAGCACTAGAATCTGTACTTTACTGAGGAAGTGTAATCCCAAATGTAACATATGTTGCATTTGACCACTTTCTAAATGGCATTGTGTATTTCATACTTGAACATTGTAACTGATAGACTGACATTTGGTTTATGGAAACATAGTGTTGATAGAAACAAGAAACACTAAAACATAGTTAACGGATACAGTGAGTGAGTATGGTTTTACGCTGCTTTCAGCCATGTGCAAGCAATATCACAGCAGGACACCATAAAAGGACTTCACACATTATACCTAAGTGGGAATCCAACCTAGATACTTTAACCACTAGGCTACCAGACTGCCTGACTCTGAAAAGGAGCCACAAGTGAGATGGTAGCTAAAGAACTGAACCTGTAGAAAATCTAGACTTACTTCATTCAGGGCTGTATGTAGCATTACTATAAGGGCTGGTGGAAAGGAAAATAATGTGGTTCAGGGGACTTTGACACAGACTACTTAACTGATAACAACTAGGTCAAGGCATGTATACTTCTTGTCGTTATGGTTACCATACAGCGTGACTTCATAAATCACACTTGCCATGTTAGAACTTCATTTTATTCATAAGTTCTACTGACACCAAGTACAATGTTTAACATGTTACCTTTGGCACAGATCTGCAATAAGCACACTGAAGACGGTGACCGATTTATTTTACTGTTACCACAAAGCCTTTTCACTCAGTTCTATGGTTACAGCAATCAGACCTGTTGGCCGTTGTTCTCAACTGTTATCTCTTCAGTGTTGTAGACTCTCTAGGTTACCTACTCTTTGCAGAATTACTGATAACTAACATCTGTATTTTAGATGCTGATATTTGCTATGCAACAAGTTATTATGTTGTTTCATCACTGGTTACATGCATATAGATTATGGTACAAATCGAAATTAATTTTCGACATTATTGGCAGTGCTTGATGTTTGCCCTATGACATGAATTTGGGATTGAATGTTATCGTTAGGGTTATTAAAAAGGCCCTTTGATTATCATGCTTACACGCACTTATGCCTACATGCATGCACACAAGCACACATACATTTCAATCACCATCTGTGGGAAATGAGCCGATGAGCCACACTGATATGTGGGATATGGAGTGTTTCCTCCATGACGACACAGCAATCCTACTGAATCAGCCTAACAATACAGGTCAAGGCCGTTTAGGTGTTTATTTCTCACTTCATGCTGATGGTATTGTCACAGTAAGCACTTCTATGATAAACTGAATCAAGATAAGATCATAATAAATATTTAAAACCATGTGATAAAAGTGATAACTTCCCATCTGATATAAAGATAGACAACATGATTGTTCAAAGACCCTTCAAAAGTGTTGAAGTATCTTAGATAGTGGAGATTATTAATCTCAAACTTTGTACATATAATGATAAGTTTTGTTTACTAAAGTTTTATAATGGCGAGATTGTACTATGTTAATCACCCCACATTCAATCACAAGAATTTCCTAACTTACCTCTGACCTCTGACACACTTAAGGTGATATTATCGAGGTGATATTGGGAGGACAGGTTCAGTGTATGAGACTGGCTTCTTTTCTGTTCCCATCATTCTACCGTTGGTTTGCTGATTCGTGAAGAACACTACAAGAATCAAAATGCTGGGATTCAAATGGAAAGATATTTGGAAGGTAGGGTATGAGTGAGGGGTTTGTATGACCTTCACACATATTCATAGTGTCATTTGCAGCGATGTTTATGTGAGTTTCAATGTAGTAGGTGCAAGGAGATTGGCTTAATGCAATGTAAATGAAATATATCTTGTATTGATTTATTTCAAATTGTGTTTGTATCACAATAAATCTTGACAAGTATCAGTCCTCTGTAGAATGTATTAGCTGGGTGTGTCTTCCATATAGTTATCACACACAGTAAGCAGGGTTTTAATGGATTCAAATGTTGCTTCCTGTATCCATGAAAAATAAGAAAGGACAGAAGAAAGAATAAATATCAATGTTGGGTCTCTCTCAATGCGAAAGAATATAGATGTTCAAAGCATGGAATGATTAAGAACCATTTCATCTGAAGTATTTATGCAAGATTTATGTCATATTTCTGGTCTTGTATGAAATTCTAAAATACAGTTAATTGTCTCCCAATGAACTGATGTTGAAGACCAGCCTGGTTACTTCTTGTTTCCTTCAGTCTTCAGCCTATTCATGTTGTGGACACATTAAATGTCTATTACTGAGACTCGCATGAACTCAAAAATAGATACAACATAGGTAGATCTCTTACTTCCTGAACCACAATACCACACAAAGGTCAAGAGACAGTATTCACCGTCCCACTCTGATAAGTTTTATAATGGCTACATCAGTTTGTGACGGGGCGGGCAAGAGACACAGGGGACAAGTGACACACAGAAGAGCAAGATCATGTAAGATAATACCATAATGCAATCCAAAAATTCAGTATTTTCGGTTTCCGTCATTTCTATCTAGCTATTCAATGTAACAAAGATTATATTATTTTTTCCCATGTTATTGAACAATTCAAGGTTTGGCTGTTGTCAATTTTCTGCATTATGATCATATCTCATATACCAAACCGAAACGGGCCGAACAAATGACTCCGATAACTAAACTGAGTCAAAGTAAGCTGCAAACGATGTAACCTGAGACATGTCAAGTTGACACGGTCAATATCAATAACTATCGGTAAATTGTAGCTATTTCAGAAACATGGAAGCAGAAGTATGACAAGTTTCTCATTATACATGGCAGAGAACAAATCACCATATCACCATTAGAGAGAGAGAGAGAGCGCTTGTGCATGCGCTCGTTAAAGCGTTCTCTCGTCATCCCAAAGACCCGGTGTAGCAGGCCATTTCTTCCCCTGTCTTAACTTTCCCTGGGAAGAATCTGGCCTAGGCCAAACTTTCCCCGGGGAGGTTTTCCTAGGATATTCTTGGCTAAAGTTTCCCCTAGGCCAAACTTTCCCCCCTGTTTAAACTAAGATATTTTGTTCTGTTTTCTATGAAAAGTGGGGAGATTCTGGCCTATCTATGCTACTTCTTCCCCACCCTTGTTCTCATATCAAAAGGGGGAGATTCTGGCCTATCTATGCTACTTCTTCCCCTCCCTTGTTCTCATATCAAAAGGGTGAGATTCTGGCCTATCTATGCTACTTCTTCCCCACCCTTGTTTTTATATCAAAAGGGGGAGATTCTGGCCTATCTATGCTACTTCTTCCCCACCCTTGTTCTCATATCAAAAGGGGATTTTGAGATTCTGGCCTACCTAGGCTACTTCTTCCCCACCCTTGTTCTTATATCAAAAGGGGGAGATTCTGGCCTATCTATGCTACTTCTTCCCCACCCTTGTTCTCATATCAAAAGGGGGAGATTCTGGCCTACCTAGGCTACTTCTTCCCCACCCTTGCTTCTTATATCAAAAGGGGGAGATTCTGGCCTACCTAGGCTACTTCTTCCCCACCCTTGCTCTTATAAACCGACAGTAGGTTTGACTTATATTTTGGTACACATTTCTGCTAAGTAGTCCATTTTTGCCTCTGACTTGGGTGTAGTGATTTGAATGCATACATGTTTGAACAACATATATCTCTAAATCCATCCTGCTCCTACCACCATTCCTATGAAGACACATTGCATTAGTTCTTCATCTGTCCACCATAAGATGTAAACATTCAATCGCACATTTGATGGGTAAATAAGATGTAATATACATAGGTTGCTTGCTCTCTTATCATGCTGTTTATTATCTAATATTTGTTGTATAAATGTAATGGAACATTATTCACCTAAGCTTGTTTACTAATCTATAATCACTTTGGGTGAATGAAATATGATTCAGATATCCATGGGCCAAGTATACCCCTTATCAAACCTTGTCTTTTGAATATAGAATAAGGCAATATAGTGGAATGATAGATGATACAGCATTTGATACAGATATTGGCTTGGGTTGTTGTTGTGTTGATGTTTACATCTGCTTCCAACTGTTAAGTTGATGTTGCCAACATGGATGCCATATTTAAAGCCATGAGTGAGGGAATAAAATTTTGAATGGATATGGACATCCAAGTAAAAACTGGGTATTTAGTTAAAGTTTCGAATATAGTAATGATTTTGACATAAGCCAATTTTGAGTAAGTGGGGATAAGTAAATTATTGAAATATAAAAATAAGTAAATGAAATGAAAATATAAAAATTCGACAATAAAAGTAATGATATAATATCATTTAATTAAATTTCAATTTATCATCTTGGCATTTAACGATCATTAATGAATAAAATCTGTGTCTTGGATAAAAAAATCTGAAAACAGTATTTGTACCTTTAAAGTTTCCACAACATGAGATTTGATTGAAGCTGACAAGTAATCAGTGCAGATTTACAAGGTCATTTACACTGATCACTGATTCTGGGCTGATCATGTTACTATAAGTATTGTGTCACAGAAAAATGAATAGAAAGTGTAAGATGTTCACACTTGATTATGCCATAATAGGCTGTCTATTTTTTAGTTACTACACACACTTTTCTATGATCCTAAATTCTGATAGCAAACATCAAACAACGAACATGGTGATAGCTTTGAGTTTTGTGTTGTTGTTTTGTGTTTCTTTTGTGTCAGGCCTACGAGAGTTTTGTTTCCATTTCAAACGATTTGTCTTCCATTACAGATGTATTGTTTCGGTTTTAGAGGATATTGTTGCAGTTTTGGTGATTTTTGTTCTGTTTTGGTGTATATGAGTTCAGTTTTGATGATTTGTTCACCGTTTGTATGGTAGGCCTGTGTGTGTGTTGTTGGATATTGTTTCTGAGGATTTTGAACTCTTTATGTGCTGTTAAGACTTTTTCCACAAATATACCCCAGTGCTGAGTTGACAGTGGGTTGTTCTAACAGGTTTGTTCTAGCTTACGTGATCAGGCTAGGTCATATGAACTGGGATCTCTAGTCAATAGTGGAGAGTGGACGAAATGTCTAGGGCAGCACAATTTACTAAGCATACCTGTGACTCTAGGTTTGAATCAAAGTTGGCTCCGATTAAGTTTCTGGGTTTGTCAAAGTGATAATGTCTGAAACCTGCATCACTTTAGGCTTTTCTTTCACATTACGCTGACAAGCCTTGATAAATATACACAATGCATTTAGAAAGTGATCAGAATCATGTAACATGTGTTATATTTGGGATTACTCTTACTCTGTAAAGTACAAATGCTATTTAGTACTTACACAGTGGGGGGAGAGGGTCGACTAACCCCATCCTTTCTGTACTGAGACAAGGCATTGTGTATTCATAGCTTCTGTCATAGGGGCCATGTCAATTTACACTTTTCAGAGGGGAACATAAAGTTTGGGATCTACTAGTTTGTGTCCAGACTTTCATTTTGTGGAAGTCGCGTTTTCCTGAAACTGTAGTGGCAGAGTAGGTTAGCTGGCTGACTTTCTGTGCTGGCGATTAGGTACCTGACTCTGAGGGTGTGGTGTCAAAATTCAGGGTGGGACTCAAGCGCAAAAATGTACAAGAATCCTTTGTTAAGGGGGAAAGTGTAATCCCAAATATAACATGTATTCCACGTTGACATGTAAATGGACTAGTGTTAAAAGCAGCATTATACCGAACTCACTCCTAATATAAGTAATGTTGTAACAGCCGACTATAAAGGGGGTAAACAGCCGACTATAAAGGGGGTACAGGTGGATGTGTGACCAGATTGAGACGTAGTGGAACATAGTGGTGTGGAGGCGTGCTCATCCTTTCACTCACTGGTTTGCCTCCATGATATGGCAGAAACGTTGGTAATAAGAGCTGTTATGATTCTCTTGCACATTCAGTGAATCACACTGTATCCCTACATGAATAAAATTTATAATTGCCATCATGAGAATAAAATTTTTATAAATGTTTTAAAAGTATTTTTACTTGAATTTGTTATTGGAAAATATCGAAGACAGGCAGGATAATAGTCAACATTCAACATGTCAAAGAATGCATTGTGTTATTGTTTCACTGAATATAATGTTAACTACCTCAACTGCCGACTTGTTTGTGTTTTTGTTTCCCATTAGTCATATTTGTTACCCGATATACATGATACGTATCATAAGCGCCTCAAACTTGATACATTGCAGCCCTATTGGTGACCATCACTCACACACTTACTGTCGGTTATTCGGTTACTTTACCATCCACTTACATATTGCTAAATATTCATGGAAGTTAATGAATGTATCTACTATCTGTCAAACTCTGTCAAATGGCACTAACTTGATGAAGTCAGGAGTGATGATTGTGAATCCCACCATGATTAATACATATGAGATGTACTCTAATTAATAAAATATGAAGGGGCTTTGTCCAAAGCTTGTTCAATGTTGCCAATTTTATATTTGATTATCCAGAGCATTTTCTGCATTATATTCAGACACATACTTTTCATCAGTTTGAATGACATGATGCATTATGAAACAAGTAGATAGTAAGTGAAACCCCACACCGATATGGTCTCCAGTAGTATCATACAGTCAGTTATGGGTAGTGGTGTACCAATGATCGAAAATAATCGAAAATCGATCGAAAGAAGGATTAAAAATAATTATAGATTGTAAAAAAGATATTTTCGGTTAATTAGAATTTTGTGGTTTAGTATAACACACTTGA